GCAAGACCCCATCTCTACAAATGTAACAAAAATTAGCCAGGTGTGGTGGTGCACGCCTGTAGTCCCAGCTACTCGGGAGGCTGAGGCGGGAAGATCCTTTGAGCCCAGGAGTTTGAGGCTGCAGTGAGGTATGATGATACCACCGTGTTCTAGAGCCTGGGTGATAGAGCAAGGCCCTGTCTTGAAAGAAAGAAGAAACGTAGGAATGGAGGGAGGGAGGGAAAGGAGGGAAGGAGGGAGGGAGGGAAAGGAGAGAGGGGGAGGGAGGGAAAGACGGAGAGAGAGCGGGAGAGAGGGAGGGAGGGAAAAGAGGGAGAGAGGGAGGGAGGGAGGGAGGGACGGAGAGAGAGAGAGAGAGGGAGGGAGGGAGGGAGGGAGGGAAGGAGGAAGGGAGAAAGAAAAGAAAAAGGAATAAACTAAGGAAAGCAAGAAAGAAAAGGAAAAAAGAAAGCAAAGAGAAAGAAAAAGAAGAAAGAGAAGAAGGAATGGAGGGAGGGAGGAAGAAAGAAAGAAAAAGAATGATTGCATGCGGAGACTGAGAAGTACATAGTCAGTAGTCAAAGGACACACCGTATACCTGGATGAACTAATACAGAATGATTGGCCTAGGGTCGACCCTGGCTAAGCTGTTGAATTTCAATGATAAAGAAAGTACTCTACTGGCCTTTGAGTAGGAAAATATAACGTACATGTGAGAAGAACCTCTAGCCAGCCTCAGACCTTCCCATAGCCCCAGCTAGAGCCAGATGACAATAGAATCAGAACTTAAAGTAAGAACTGAAGAAAAGGAAAATGAATCAAGAATATTCTCCCATGCCAGGTGCAGTGACTCACGCCTGTAATCCCAGCACTTTGAGAGGCTGAGGCGGGAGGATCACCTATGGTCAGAAGTTTGAGACCAGCCTGGCCAAGATGGTGAAATCCCATCTCTACTAAAAATACAAAAATTAGCTGGGCATAGTAGTGTGCGCCTGTAATCCCAGCTACTCAGGAGGCTGAGGCAGCAGAATCTTTTGAACCTGGGAGGCAGAGATTGCAGTTAGCCGAGGTCGCACCACTGCACTCCAATGTGGGCGACAGAGCAAGACTCTCTCTCTCAAAAAAATAATTAAAAAATAAAAAAAGAATGGTCATCCAAAGGCCAGGTGTGGTGGCTCACGCCTATAATCCCAGAACTTTGGGAAGCCCAGGTGGGCGGATCATGGGGTCAGGAAATCGAGAGCATCCTGGCTAACACGGTGAAACCCTATCTCTACTAAAAATACAAAAAATTAGCAGGGCGTGGTGGCAGGCTCCTGTAGTCCCAGCTACTAGGGAGGCTGAGGCAGGAAAATGGCGTGAACCCAGGAGGTGGAGATTGCAGTGAGCCAAGATCACGCCACAGCACTCAGCCTAGGTGACAGAGGGAGACTTCATTTCAAATAAATACATACCTACATACATACATATATAAAAAAAAAAGAATAGTCATCCAAGTAGAAACCCATTAAACAGAAACCCTCAAATATGGACCATTTCCAAAAATACAGCCGCTGTGGGTGAAAATAGAAACTGCAGGTTAAAAAGAATCATGAGTTGGCCAGGCGCGGTGGCTCACGCCTGTAATCCCAGCACTTTGGGAGGCCGAGACGGGCGGATCACGAGGTCAGGAGATTGAGACTATCCTGGCTAAAACGGTGAAACCCCGTCTCTACTAAAAATACAAAAAACTAGCCGGGCGAGGTGGCGGGCGCCTGTAGTCCCAGCTACTCGGGAGGCTGAGGCAGGAGAATGGCGTAAACCCGGGAGGCGGAGCTTGCAGTGAACTGAGATCCAACCACTGCACTCCAGCCTGGGTGACAGAGCGAGACTCCGTCTCAAAAAAAAAAAAAAAAAAAAAGAATCATGATACTTTTATCTTTTTTCATTTTAATGAATGTTGAATAAAAATATATCACTTGCACATAGGCATTTATCTGAAGTTCAGAAATTCTCTCACCTTAGTTTCTTCAGCTTCTGTCGTATCAAGCAAAATGAAAGTTATATATATTTAAACTAAAACACATATAAAATACTTAAAGTTATTTATTATTTATTTATTCATTTATTTATTTATTTAGAGATGGAGTCTCGCTCTGCCGCCAGGCTGAAGTGCAGTGGTGCGATCTCACTCACTGCAACTTCCACCTCCCAGGTTCAAGCAATTCTCCTGCCTCACCCTCCCAAGTAGCTGGGATTACAGGTGCCCGCCACCACACCCAGCTAATTTTTGTATTTTCAGTAGAGACAGGGTTTCACTGTGTTGGCCAGGATTGTCTCCATCTCCGGACCTCGTGATCCGCCTGCTTCACCCTCCCAAAGTGCTGGGATTACAGGCATGAGCCATAGCGCCCGGCAGTTATTTTTAATCCATTAATCTATCTACTTAAGTAAGTACCTATTTGCACAAAAAGAGGTATGAATTAATTACTGCCTAATTTTTTTTTTTGAGACAGAGTGTCTCTCTGTTTTCCAGGCTAGAGTGGAATGGTGCGATCTTGGCTTACTGCAACCTCCGCCTCCCAGGCTCAAGCGAGTCTCGTGCCTCAGCCTCTCGAGTAGTTGGGATTACAGGCGCCCACCACGCCCAGCTAATTTTTGTATTTTTAGTAGAGACGGGGTTTCATCATGTTTGCCAGGCTGGTCTTGAATTCCTGACTTCAAGTAAGCCACCTGCCTTGGCCTCCCAAAGTGCTAAAATTACAAGCATGAGCTATCACGCCTGGCCATACCACCTAATGTTGAGAGTTATTTCTTGGTGGTTGAAAATTTCTTGATTTGTTACTTGCTTCTTTGTAGTTTTCTTTTCTCTCTCTCCTCTCTCTCTCTCTCTTTCCACCTCCTCTCTGACAAGGTCTCACTCTGTTGCCCAGGCTGCAGTCTCAAACTCCTGGGTTTTAGTGATCTACCTGCCTCAGCCTCCTGAGTCGCTGGGACTATAGGTATGCGTTACCATAACTAGTTTTTAATTTTTTAGAGATGGGATCTTGCTATGTTGCTCATGCAGGTCTCAAACTCTGGCCTTGAGCAATCCTCCTGCCCTGCCTTCCCAAAGTGCTGGGATTACAGGTGTGAGCTATAGCACCCGGCCTGCTTTGTACTTTCCTATAGGACTTAGATTTTATGAATAATTACAAATAATTTTTATAAAAGCAGTAAACTTTTTAAAATTAAGCAGTGATAAAGAATGAGCTACAGAAAGTAGTATTAGTTCAGCGCCTATTACATACTAGATATTTTGCATATGGTCAATCACCTAATCCACATATCAAGGCAGGAATTATAATCTTTATTTTTCAAGAGAGAAAACTGAGGCTTACAAGCATTTGTTAATTCTAGAGTCACACAGCTGCTGCCAAAACAAGTTCCCTCTTCCCAGAAGCCTGCCCACTGCTGGTTTCATCAAATTCAACCCCACTACTTCCATCCCCACATCTGTGCGCAAGAACGTACACACACACACACACACACACACAAGCACACTTCTGCAATATTTCATCTGCCTAGGCCAGGAACTTACCATGACGAACCAAATGCAATACCTGTTTCCTGACCAAAGCTGTTACTCAATATCTCCATGATTTGAGAAACAGTTTGATTTCAAGCTGACAAGGGTCCCACTGAGGTCTTAATAATTACAAAGCATCCTAGTGTATGTGAAAGGATGTGATGTTCAGATCTATCCAGCCCTTTAAGATGTTCTGCTGGAAGGTGGTTGAGGTGCAAAGTACTATTGACTTATGGTCATCTTGGTCCATGGTCATTAATAATGATACTTTGTATTTCTTTTGTGTTTGTGCTAAGAGTGGTTTTAAAACCTGGAAGAAGCTTATCAGTTTCTAGGTATTCAAATATCTTTCACAATGTATATGTGTGTGTGTATATGCTATGAAAATATATACACACATATATTCACATATGAATAGATAACACACATATACATATATATATTTATAGTACACTAATCAAGAAGCAAATTCTTCTTTTTTCTTTCTTCTGGACAGAGTCTCGCTCTGTCACCCAGGCTGGAGTGCAGTGGCACAATCTTGGTTCACTGCCACCTCCGCCCCCCGTGTTCAAGTGATTCTCCTGCCTCAGCCTCCTGAACAGCTGGGATTATACCACATGTGGCTAATTTTGGTATTTTTAGTAGATACAGGGTTTCACCATCTTGGCCAGGCTGGTCTTGAACTCCTGACCTCATGATCCACCCACCTCATCCTCTTAGAGTGCTGGGATTACAGGCGTGAGCCACCGTGCCTGGCTTAAAGTAAATTCTTAATGATCCATGAAAAGAAAAAGGCAGGCCAGGTGTGGCTCCCACCTGTAATCCCAGCACTGTGGGAAGCTGATATGGGAGGATCGCTTGAGCCCAGGAGTTTGAAACCAGTCTGGGAAACATGGTGAGACTTCCTCTGTAGAACAAATGTAAAAATTACCTGGGCATGGCAGCTTATACCTGGGGTCCCATCTACTCAGGAGGCTGAGGTGAGAGGATCACAACTCAAAAAAGCAGAGTTTTCAGTGAGCTGAGATCACACCACTGCACTCCATCCTGAATGACAAAGCAGTACCTTGCCTCAAAAAAAAAAAGGAAAAAATTGGTATCAAAGAAAAATTTAATGTATCTATATATACATAAATGTATATAGTCATAGTATATTAATCAAAAAGTAAATTCTTAATAGTTCATGACAAGCAAATGGCAGGCCAGGCATGGTGGCTCACGCTTGTAATCTCAGCACTTTGGAAGGCCCAGGCAAAAGGATTGCTTGTGTCCAAAAGTTTGGGACCAGCCTGGGCAACCTAGTGAGAACCAACCTCTCAGAAAAAAACAGAAATTAGCCAGGCATATTGGCATGTGCCTGTAGTCTCAGCTACTCAAGATGCTGAGCTGGGAGGAGCACTTGAGGCCAAAAGGCCAAGGCTGCAGTGAGCCATAATCACATGACTACACTCCAGCCTGGGTGACAGAGCAAGACCCTAAGAAAAAAAAAAAAAAAAGAAAACTGTAAAAAATATAAAAAAAGAAGACATGAAGTGAGAAGCTACCATGTCCGGGGCAAATACAAAGGGCCCAAGGTTCATTCCCATCCTAACCCCCAGAAGACAAGAAAAACCATGAGACACTAAATAAAACAGAAATCACTGTGAAACCACACAGGCAGAATTTACTATCGATTTGTCAGAAGTCCACTCTTAAGGTTAAAAAAAGAGATGGCTTTTGCTAAAGCACTTTGCTGTGAACAAATGAAAGTCCAGGGAAGCTTTAGGCTCCTTGATGCTGTTGACCATCGAAGACTTAAAGCTGGATCTGGAAGAGGCAACTGTGAGGCAAGAGCAAAACCAGAAGAGGCCACCATGAGGCAGAAGATGGGCCTTGAGTGGCCACTGTGAGGCAGAAGATGGGCCAGACGAGGCCATCGTGAGGAAGGAGCTGGTGTAAGAGAGATCACAGTGAGACAGGAGCTGGGTTATGGGAGGCAGTCGTGAGGCAGGAGGTGGGCCTGGTGAGGCCAGTGTGAGGAAGCAGCTGGGCCTAGAGATGCCAGTGTGAGGCATTAGCTGGGCCTGTTGAGGCTGCCAGGAGGCAGGAAGAAACATGGCTGGCGAAGGCCACCATGATGAAAGAGCTGGGGCTGGAAAGGCCTCTGCAAGGAAACAGGTGGGCCTGGAGAGGCCATTGTCAGGCAGGAGCTGAGCCAGTTCAGGCTGCCATGAGGCAGACTGTGGGCCTAGACAGCTTAACTTGAAAAAGTTTCAGGCCTACAAAGGACTCCAGGAGCTGGGCAACAGCTAAGGCCAAAGAGTTTGTTGTGAGGCAGGAACTAGGCCTACAGATGCAGCCAGAGGAAGAGCTGGGACTGGAGACGAGGCCGGGAGGCAGCAGCTGGGACTGGAGAGGCTGATTTGAGGAAGTTCTGGGCCTGAAGAGGCAGCCAAAAGTCAAGACCAAGGTCTGGGGAAAACAGCCGTGAGGCATGAGTTGGACCTGGAGAGGCCTCTGGTAGGCAAGAGCAGGACGTGCAGAGGCTGTTCTTAAGCGAGAGATGGGTCGGTACAGGCCACCGGGAAGCAGAAGGTGGGACTAAAGGGCTTGACTGGAAAAAGTTTTGGGCCTACAAAGGCTGGCAGGAGCTGGGTGGGAGCTGAGTCCAAAGAGGTTGTTGTGAGGCAGGAGTTGGGCATGTAGACGCAGCCAGAAGGAAGAACTAGGCCTGGAGAGGCCACCATAAGAAAGGCAAAGGCTAGGCCTGTAAAGGCCGACTTGAGACTGCAGGGAGGCCGGCAGGAGCGTGGCTGGGGAAGGCTGCCAGGAGGCAAGAGCTGGGCCTGGAAAGGCCGCTGTGAGGTAAGAGGTGGGCCTGGACAGCTGAACTGGAGGAGGTTTTGGGCCTACGAAGGCTGCCAGGAGCTGGGCAGGAGTCGAGTCAAAGGAGGCTGTTTGGAGGTAGGAATTGAGCCTGCAGGCGCAGCTGCGAGAAAAGAGCTGGGCCTGGAGAGGAGGCTGGGAGGCAGCAAGCAACTGGGCTGGGGGAGGCCAACTTGAGGAAGTTCTGGGTCTGGAGAGGCTGCCAGAAGGGAAAAGCTGGGCCTAAAGAGGCCGCAGTGAGGCATGAGCTGGGCCTAAAGAGGCCATTGGGACACAGGAGCTGGGTCTGCAGAGGCTACCGAAAAGCAGGAGGGTGGCCTGGGGAGACCGCGGTGAGGCATGAGATGAGCCTATAAAGGACCTCACAGGCGGGAGCTGGGCCTGTCGAGGCTGCTGCAAGGCAGGCACAAACGTGGCCTGGGGAGGCCAAAGTGTGGCAAGAGCTGGGCCTGGAGAGGCCCTTGTCAGGCAGGAGCTGGATCTCTCCAGGCCGCCGGGAAGCTGAAGGTGAGCCTGGAAGGCCTGATGTAGAGAAGCCTGGGGTCTACAAAGGCTGCCAGGAGCTGGGCCAAATGTGGTTGTCATGTGGCAGGAGGTAGGCCAGCAAACACAGCCAGAAGGGAGAGCCAGGCCTGGAGAGGCCGACTAGAAACAGTTCTGGGCCTGGAGAGGATGCCAAGAGGCAAGAGCCGGGCCTGGAGAGGCCGCCAAAAGGCAGGAGCTTGGCCTGAGGTGGCCATGCTGAGGCAAGAGCTGGGCCTGGAAGCTCCACTGTGAGGCAGAGGCCATGGTTGTTGGGGCCCCCAACACACACGCACTGGGCCTGGCGAGGATGACTTCAGGACAATTTGAGCCTGCAGAATCCATTATCAGGAGGCAATAGCTTGGCCTGTAGAGGCTGACAAAAGGTAAGCACTTGGCCTGCGGAGGCCATGGTCAGGCAACAGCTGGGTCTGGAGGGTCCACTCTGAAGCAGCAGCTCAGCCTGAAGGGGCCTACAACAGGCAGGATCTCGGCCTGTGGAGAGGCATGACCTGATCTTAAACACGCCAGTGTAAGGGATGACCTGGCCCACAGAATCCTGTGTGAGGCCGGATCGTGGCCTGCAGAGTCCAGGAGAGGCATGAGATGGGCCTAAACAGGCCAGTGCAATTGAGTACCTGGGCCTATAGAGGCCAGTGTGAGGCAGGAGCTTGGCCCGGAGAGGCCGCAAGATGTATGAGCTTGTCCTAAATAGTCCAATGTAAGGCAGGAGCTGGGTCTGTCGAGGCTGTCAGGTGGCAGGCTATAACTTGGACTGGGGAAGCTGCTGTGAGGCAAGAGCTGGGCCTGGGGGTGCTAGGGAAAGGCAAGACCTGGGCCTGGAGTGGCCATCGTCAGGCAGTAGCTGGGCCTGTCAAGGCCACTGTGAGGCATGATCTGGGTCTGGAAATCTTGACTTGAAGAAGCTTTAGGCCTATAAAAGCTGCCAGGTGCTAGGCAGGAGCTGATCCAAAATAGGTTGTTGTGAGTCAGGAGTTAGGAGTGTAGACACAGCCGGGAGGAAAAACTGGGCCTGGAAAGGGTATAGGGAGGCAGCAACTCCACCTTGAGAGGCTGAACTGAGGAATTTCTGGGACTAGAGAAGTCACCAAAGAGAAAAGCTGGTCGTGGAAAGGCCATTTTGAGGAATGAGCTGGGCCTCAAGAGGCCATGAGATACAGGAGCTGGGCCTCTAGAGGCTGCCAAAAGGCAGGAGTTTCACCTGGGGTGGCCGCCTTGAGGCATGAGATGAGCCTAAAGAGGCCACTGGGAGGCAGGAGCTGGGCCTGTCGGAGCCTGCCATGATGCAGGCAGAAACTTGGTGTGGGGAGGCTGCTGTTAAGGCAAGAGTTGGGTCTATCAAGGCTACTGCAATGCAGGCAGAAACCTGGCGTTGGGAAGCTGCCATGAGGCAAGAGCTGGGCCTGTGAAGGCTGCTGGGAGGCCAAAGGTGGGCCTGGCAAAGTTGACTTTAAGAAGTCTGGAGTTGGGTGTGTCCAGGCCAGTGGGAGGTAGAAGGTGGGCCTAGAGAGTTTGAATTGAGGAATTTTCAGGCCTACAATGGCCAACGTGAGCCAGACAGGAGCTGGGCAGAAGAGCTGATCTGAGGCAAGTGTTGGGCCTGTAGATGGAGCCAGGAGGAGGAGCTTGACCTGGAGAGGCAGTCATGAGGCAGAGGCTTGGCCTGTATAGGCCGACAGGAGACAGGAACTGGGCCAGGAGTGGCTCACTTGAAGATGATATTGGAGAAAGTGACAGATCATCAGGCATTAGATTCTCACAGGGACAGCGCAACATAGATCCCTCACATGCACAGTTCACAATGGGGTGCTTGCTCTCACGGGATTCTAATGCTGCTGCTGATCTGAGAGAAGGTGGAGCTCAGGGGAATGTGAGCAATGGGGAGTGGCTGTAAATAAAGATGCAGCTTCCCTCACTCAACACTATTCACCTGCTGTATGGCTCCTTACAGCTCCCTGGCTCAGGCGTTGGGGGCCCCTGCTCAAGGACATCCAAAAGGACCCTTCCCACACCAGTCTTCACAGCGGTCACGTGCAGCAGCCACTTAGCTCCCAAGGCATGTGCCACAGCTGGTATTTCATCACAATCAACAATAAGTGGTAGCTTGAGTCATTCTGAGGTCACTTCCCGGAAATCACCAGCATCCCATATCCCATTGGCAAAGAGCTCTGCACAGTCCCTTGGATAACCAAACCTATGCCCAAATGCCATCTGTGTGGGTCTGTCTCCTGGGACTCTTCCTAGTAGCAACTCTGTATTAGTCAGGGTCCAATCAAGACACATAAACCACTCAAAAGTCCAAAGTGCTAGAATTTAATACAGAGAATTATTCATTATAACAGGGAAACAATATGACAGATTGGCTAGCACAAAGTAAAGAGAATTCTAGAGAATATAGGACTAGCCAAGGTCAGGCATGGTGGCTCATGCGTGAAATTCCAGCAATTTAAGAAGCCAACACAGGAGGACTGCTTGAGGCCAGAAGCTAGAGACCAGCCTGGGCAACACGGTGAGACCCTGTCTCTATCCAAAAAAAGAAAAAAATTAGCTGGGTGTGGTGGTGCACACTTACAATCCCAGCTACTTGGGAAGCTGAAGTGGGAGGGTAGTTTGAGCCTGTGAGGTCAAGGCTGCAGTGAGTCATGATTATGGCACTACAGTCAAGCCTGGGTGACAGAGCAAGACCATATCTCAAGGAACAAAACAACAACAACAACCATTTACAGAAAGAAAAGAAATAGGGCTAATAAGGTATGATGTTGAAATGTGACAAATAAAGTAATATGAGGGCTTTTATCCATTTAAAATCATCAAACAAAAAATAACCTATTAAATTATAATACCCTGTGCTGGCAAAGGTGCAGTGAAATGGGCACTTTCTTATACAATGAGGGGTGTTTAAATTGTGTATGAGCCTTTCAGGGTAAAGCTTTGCAATTTTTTTTTTTTTTTTTTTTGAGATGGAGTTTCACTCTTGTTGCCCAGGCTGGAGTGCAATGGTGCAATCTTGGCTCACCACAACTTCCACCTCCTAGGTTCAAGCAATTCTCCCGCCTCAGCCTCTGAATAGCTGGAATCACAGGTGTGTGCCATCACACCCAGCTAATTTTGTATTTCTAGTAGCGATGGGGTTTCTCCATGTTGGTCAGGCTGGTCTCGAACTCCAGACCTCAGGTGATCCACCCACCTCAGCCTCCCAAAGTGTTGGGATTACAGGCGTGAGCCACCACACCTGGTCGACAATTTTTTTTTTAATAATAGAGACACTGTCTCACCACACTCTCCTCCAAGTCCTGACATCAAGCAAGCCTCCTGCCTCAACTTCCCAAAGTGCTGGGATTATACCTGGGAGGCACCCAAAACCTTGTCAATTTACATCAAGGGCAATGAGAATGTCCATTCACCATGACTCACAGTAATCTCACTTCTGGAAATACCTTGGGAGATAACTGAATCTAAACAAAAGGTCATCTGCACAAACAGTGAAAATCTAGGAGTAACTGAAGACAGAGTGGTTAAGCGAAATAAGAAACAGTTAAAAGAAATTAAACTATCTATGGTATTTACAGGCACCTGGTCAGTTCATGTTAGCTGCTACTTTTTTGTTGTTTACCCAGGCAGGAATGCAGAGGCGTGATCATGACTCACTGCAGTCTCAGCCTCCCTGGGCTCAAGTGATCCTCCCACAGCAGCCTCCCAAGTAGCTGGGACTACAGGAACATGCCACCACACTAGGCTAATTTATGTATATTTCTGTAGGGATGGTAACTCCCTTGGTTTCTGAGGCCTGTCTCAAACTCTTGGCCTCAAGCCATCCTCCTGCCTCAGCCTCCCAAAGTGTGATTACCAGTGTGAGCCACCACACCTGTCCACCTGCTACTTTTATTATATTATATCACTAAATTCAAAATTATTTGTCATTAAAAATTATCATTTTCAGGGCTGTGGAACAATATGTGTCCTACAGCATAATTGTAAAAACATATACAGTTGTCCCTCGGTATACAGAGAGGATTCGTTCCAGCCCTCCATCTCTGCATATACCAAAATCCATGCATACTCACGTTTTGCAGTCAGCCCTTTGGAACCCACGTATAGGAAAAGTCCAAATATTACTTGGGCATCATGGCAAGCACGTAGTCTCAGTCACTTGAAAGGCTGAGGTGGGAGGCATGCTTGAGCCTAAAAGGTCGAGGATGCAGTCAGCTGTGATAGCACCACTGCCACTCCAGCCTGGACAACAGCGCAAGACCCTGTCTCAGAAAAAAAAAAAAAAAAAAAAAAAAAAGGTTAGAAATTGTAATGACATCTGTTGGGCAAAATTCCATATAAGCAAAGTATAGATTAATGAAGCAATTGGTGATCAATTAGTACGATTGACTTTCTGGAGTTTCTGACAGTAAAGGTAAGAAAAATGCAAAACACAGAGACAGAGGGTTAGGGAAGGATTCTACGTGTTTAACAGGATGACACTGGCCATGTTCATGCAGCAGCAGTGTGTCACCATATGACATACCTTGGAGAGAAGTTAGCAGATGAGGAAGTTGATAAAAATGATGAGAGAAGCAAAATACTGATAGCGATAGTGAAGTAAACCATGAACAATTTCCATAACTGACATCAGCAAAGTGGTAATACTGTACAGTGTGTGTTTAAGTTCCTGTATAACATTGTGTTTGCTTTCTGTTTGTTTGTAAGGAATATATCTACTAAAAGTTCTTCTTGCTGTCAAAAGAATATGTGTAAGTCATTAGAACTTATTCTTCTGTTTTTCTACTTTGATCTTCCGGCCATCATCCCATAGCCTTACTTTAGAAATTTTTTATTTTTTTAGAAATTTGAACAAGTGTTTGTTGTGGTGGCTCATATCTCTAGGATGGGAGGCAGGGGTGGAAGGGTCACTCGAGGCCAGGAGTTTGACACCAGCCTGGCCAACAAAGTGAGACCCCATGTCTACCAAACAATTTAAAAATTAGCCAGGTGTCATCATGTATACCTACAGTCCCAGCTACTCAGGAGGCTGAGGCAGGAGGAGCCTTAGCCCCGGAGTTCAAGGCTGCAGTGAGCTGTGATTGCAGCACTGTACTCCAGCTGGGTTGCAGAGGAGACCCCCATCTCCTAAAACAAAAAAAACAACAAAAAAAGAAAGAAAATAGGTAAAGTAGCAAGTTGTATGTAGCTTACTCTGAATACGTCTAAACTACATGTTTTCCATCTTTTGGGGTCTAGCATCTCTTTACATTTTTTAACTCTATTGAAGATCTTTTAAGACTTTTTCTTTATATAAATAATTATATTAAAATTAGAAAATAAGACAAAATTTTGAAAATATTATTCATTACATATTAATAAAACCATTTCATGTTGTTATAATGCAGGACAAATTTTTAACATAGATATATTCATTACATATGAATAATAAAACCAGTACATGTTGATGTAAGTAATACTTTTTTTTTTTTTTTTTTTTTTTTGGAAACAAAGTCTGACTTTCACCCATGCTGGAGTGAAGTGGCACAATCTTGACTCACTGCAACCTCCACTACCTGGGTTCAAGCAATTCTCCTGGCTCAGCCTCCCAAGTAGCTGGGATTACTGGCGCCTACCACCATGCCTGGCTCATTTTTGTGTATTTTTAGTAGAGATGTGGTTTCACCATGTTGGCCAGGCTGGTCTTGAAATCCTGACCTCAGGTGATCACCTCGGTCTCCCAAAGTGCTGAGATTACAGGCGTGAGCCATTGCGCCCAAACCAATTAATATATATGTATTAATGTATATATATTTATATATATAATATATATATATATATTTTTTTTTTTGAGACGGAGTCTCACTCTGTCCCCCAAGCTGGAGTGCAGTGGCGCAATCTCAGCTCACTGCAAGCTTCGTCTCCCAGGTTCACGCCATTCTCCTGCCTCAGCCTCCCCAGCAGCTGGGACTACAGACGCCCACTGCCATGCCCGAATAATTTTTTTGTATTTTTATTAGAGATAGGGTTTCACTGTGTTAGCCAGGATAGTCTAGATCTCCTGACCTCGTGATCCGCCCACCTCGGCCTCCCAACAGATTAATATATTTTTTAAAACACTGATTAGTCAGGCAACAACACTGGGCAGGGGTCTCCTCATTCCCAGCGATGCAAACCCCACTGCACGGCTCCGGGGTTGCAAGGGCTACAGCACCAAAAGGCTCTAACTTGTGATTTAATATTTTATTTGTATTCTATTTGTATTGTGAGACAGGGTCCTGCTCTGTTGCCCAGACTGGAATGCAGTTGTGCACTTATATAGCTCACTGCAGCCTCGACTTTCTGGGCTCAAGCCATCTTCCTGCCTCAGCTCCCCACTGGCTGGTGCCACAGTTGAGTGCCACCATACCTGGCTATTTTTTAAATTTTTTGTAGAGTGAGGGGTCTTGTTCTGTTGCCCAAGCTGGCCTCAAACGCCTGACCTCAAGAGATCTGCCCACCTCAGCCTCCTGAGTAGCTGGGACTATAAGTACACATCACCATACCTAGCTACATTTATTTCATTTTATTAAATTTTGAAAAATATTTTTATAGAGAGGAGGTCTTGCTGTGTTGCCCAGGCTGGTCTCAAATTCCTGCCCTTAAAAGATACTCCCATCTCTGCCTCCCAAACAGCTGGGACTACAGGCATGAGCCACCGCAATGAGCCTGAAGAGATTTCTTTAATCTAGCATCCCATACTTGATAGGATTGAGAAAGGCAGTCGTGTTTTTTAAAATTACTTAATAATTCAGTAAGAATCTATCTCAACCTTGACCACTGCCTTCTCTCACACTCCACATCCAGTCTGTCAGGAAATCCTGTTGTGTCTTCAACATGTATTGAAGATCTCCACCCAGCAACCCCCTGGCCTCCTCCCCTGCTTCTCTCCTCTGACCATCTCTCACCACCACTATGACCCTGGTCAGGACCACTATCATCTCTCGCCTGGATGTTGCTGCAGCTTGGCCCCCGTGCTTCTACCCAAATCTTCCCACAGTCTTTCTCAACTCAGCAGCCAGAGAATGCTTTTAAATCGGGAGAGAGATCATGTCGCCTCTCTGCTCAGAACCCTCCTGCAGTTCCCATCTCAGTCAGAGTAAAAGCCAAAGCCCCAGCAATAACCTCCCAGGGCTTACACGATCTGTGCTGATCCCAGCCCAGCAACTCCCTGGCCTCCTGCCCTAATTCTCTCCCTCTCT